ATACGTACCTCTTATCATACATAGTTGGAACATAGGTAAGAGAAGGGCAGATATCTGAGTCTAAAAGAAAAGTTTCAATGAATAGAGGGATTTGTTCTAATAGTGTTTGTAAATAAGATATCATGCCTGCATCTTGTACAATAAATAACCATTAGGAAGGCAGTATGCAATATGTTAATTATTGAAACTGTCCTACCAATTTGATTTGAAACTGTCTCATTGCTATTTCTCAATAAAATTATGGAGAAAAAAGAAAAGTTTATCACCATCAAAACCCCTAGCCTGTGGGCCACAAGTATGATCAAATGTCTTTCTAGCTTTATATCTTTGAAGACCTGTATATCAGAAGGCATGAATACATTTAATACACCATAAAATCAGTGTCATGCCAACCCTAGAGAAGGTAGCCCACATACAGTGTAAGGAAGGAAAAGAGGCTTGTTTCCCTTTTCACTCCTGTTGCTTGTGGCATCTTCTGCCACCATGAACTATTATCCATTTGTCATGCCACTCTACTTTGGAGCCAACTGATTATGGACTGAAACCTTTACAAGCCTTTGGCTAAATAAATCTTTCCTCTTTTAACATTGTGGCTTGGGTACTTTGTCTCAGCAACTAGAGAAAATTAACTAACACAGAATTTGGTACCAAGAATGGAGACATTGCTCTTACTATGCCTGACCATGCGCTTCAAGAGCCTTTGGGTATGGCTTGTAGGAAAAAATTGGAAAGAGTCAGAGAGTCAGAGAAGCTGGCTGAAAAAGGAGAGTTAGAATGCCTTAGGCTTTTCTGTATGGGACATTCTGGTCAGAGCTCAGAAGATCAGAAGGCTGATAGAAACCCTGCTGGAACGACCAGGAGGTTTCTGCTGGGAAGATCTGCATTGGCTGTTGGACTCCAGATGATGTGCATTATGGCTTGGCAGAAAGTTTGTCTGCATTGTGATTGTGTCCAGAGACTTTACCTGAAGCTGAGATTAAGGACAATGGACTAACTAATCTTGTAGAATAAATATCAAGGTAGTCAAATGGTTATGAGATGGCATAGATACTATTGGGGACTTTTAGCCAGATTTATGTTGAGAATCAAAAGCAAAGAGCCCAGCAGAATGATTTCAAATGTTTCGAGTTTTCCTAGAAAGAAATCTGCAGTAAATCTATGGATTTCAAAGATGGGATAGAGGAGATATTGATTGCTGATAAGCTACAGGACAGTAGAAAAGATGGCTTGAGGGCATTTCAAGAAGCGTGAAGTCTCCACCCATTGTAGCCTAAAAACTGCAAAAATGAAACACTTTGCTTTGAGAAGCAAACTTTAGAGCACCATGTTTCAGAAGGGCAGCAGCCAATTCCAATCCTTGGAATTGGAGTCAGATTGCTCAGTTAACCAGGCACTTGCTCCCTAAAGCCAAGAGAAAGAAAACCCTGGCTACTGCTCTAACTGGCAGCAGACTTTGGCATCACCTATGTGGTGCTGGTGTTAGGCACATGTAGAATGAAAGAATTATGGGGTTAAAAAAGATTCCCCCCAGATTTCTAAAGGCTTGGGAGGCCAGGCAGTGTGCCCTAGAGAAGGCAGCATGTGAAGCTGTGAGTGTGAGGCCAAAGGTGCAGTGGAGACCCCAGAAGTTTGGAAAAGCTAGGAATGTGGATCATCTAAGGAAAGCTGTAGGGAGAGAGCATAATGGGCTAAGAGAGAATCCCTGGGAGATATTACCACTGGAAGTGCCATAGGGGTGGAGA